ACATTCCAAAACAATCACATTTCCCATGTGGGAATAAGGTTTTGTCAGGAAACACCTCATGAAAACAAACTCCTCCCTGTTTCTGATGTGTTTGCCACCCTCTCGTGACACTGCACTGGCTGGCATGGTGGGTACAAGTTTTAACCAAATTTTCATCCAAATCTTTGCGGGCATCGAACCAAGCAGAGTTTGGAGGAGGATAATGGGGTGGGGGCAGTGCTAATGCTGCCAGATTCCAGGAGATAAAGGGAAGACCTCAAAGACCAGGCTGGACAGGACCTGGAACAGCCTGGGACAGTGGGAGGTGTCCCTGCCCGTGGTGGGGGTGGCACTGGATGAGTTGGGTCACTTCCAACCCACCCCACTGTGTGATTCTGTGACATCAGCACAGCGCAGCTGCTCCCCAGCAGCATCCCAGAATTCCTACACAGACATCAAACGATTCCTCCCCGCCCTACAAACACGACAAGTCAGCCAGGATCTCAGCAGCCTCCAAAAAAACACGGCACGGAGCTGTTTTGGTGTGCCTAAAATTAATCCGTGCTCGAATGAGTCAAAACAGACTGGAGGGAGGTATTTATAACTGGCTCCTTTCTGTGCAGCAGCCTCAGCTGCCGGGGTTTGGCCCACGCCTACAGCCCGAGCTGCCTCCCTGCTCCCCATCGCTGGGATCGCACGCTGGGAGCGCTGGGGAAGGGATATTCCTGATTTTCCCCACGGCTGCCTCTGGATCCTGCCTTTCCTCAACACCTGCAGTGACCTCGGCAGCGCTCGGGGCAGGCTGGGCCCTGGAAGGTGTCCGTGCCCGTGGCAGGGGCGACACAGGACAGGCTTTAGGGTCCCTTCCACCGCATTCCCTGACCGCAGCATCCCCCAGCTCCGCCACCCCGCCGAGAATCCCCTCCGAATCCCCCGCAGCCTCGCCTCCTTTAGCCCCGCAGCCCCACGGAACCCTCCGAGCGCTCGGGGCCCGCTCTCCCCTCCCGCCCCCGGGGCTGCCCCGAGCGGCCGGGCCCTCTCCCCTCAGCGCGGCCGCTCCTTCCCCTCAGGCCGCGGCGCCCTACCCACCTCTGTCTGGCTCCCCGCTCGCTGGGCAGCGGCTGCCGGCAGCTCATGGCGGGCGGAGCGCGGCCCGGGGGCGGCGGGCCCGGAGCGGCGCGGGGCGGAGGCCGCGGGAGCGGCGGAGCGCGGCCCGGCCCGGCCCGACCGCCGCTTCCGCCGCCTCGCCGTGACGTCACGGAGCGCGCCCGCGGGGCGGGGCCGCGCCGCTGTGACGGCGGCACCGGGAGGCGCGGCGTTGTGACGTCACGGGGAACGGGCGGCCATGGCGGCGGGACCGGGAGCGGGACCGGGAGCGGGGCCGGAGCTGTGCCCGCACTGCCGGCGGCCCTTCAAGCGGCTCCGCGCGCACCTCCCGCACTGCCGGGCCGCGCCGGCAGCGAGCCCCCGCCCGGGCCCCGGCAGCAAACCGGGATCGAGCCCACAGCTCTCCGCCGCCACCGGCAGCGCACCGGCACCGAGCCTAGCCCCCGGCAGCGCACCGGGATCGAGCCCGCAGCCCTCCGCCGCCACCGGCCCGGCACCGAGCCCAGCCCCCGGCAGCAAACCGGGATCGAGCCCACAGCTCTCCGCCGCCACCGGCAGCAAACCGGGATCGAGCCCACAGCCCTCCGCCGCCACCGGCCCGGTGCCCAGCCCAGCCCCGGGTCCCCGCCCGGCCGCCGGCCCCGGGACAAGGAGCGGGTCCCGCGCGGTGCGGGACGTGGCCCGGAGCCTGGACCTGCGGCCCGAGGAGGTGCGGGACGTGCCCAGGAAGCTGCAGAAGGGGGTGAAGGTGGTGATCGAGAAGCACCGAGCCCGGGTGCTCCGGGAGAAGGAGCCGCGGAGCCGCGGGGAACGGACGGAGCCCGGCCCCGCTCCCCACCCGCAGCGCCGCGAAACCGCCCCAAAATCCACGAGCAAGGAGAGGCGGAGCCGGGCAGCCCTGGGGAGCGGGACTGGGAGCTCCAAGGGAAAAGAAAGCAGTTTGAAGGCAGCAAAGACACTTCAAGAGCCCGCTGAGAGCAGGAACAGCCCCGGTGACCTCGTCCAGCAGGAGGGAAGAGAGAAATTTGGGACAGGGGGCGAGCAGGTGCGCCTGGAAGTTGGGGCGGGATCTGATCCCCCCGCGGGTGCTTTGCATCCCGGGATGCTCCATCTGTCACCGGCGCTCGGAGCTGGCGGCCGGGGGACACCCAGAAATGAGCTGAGCCTGCGGGAGCCGCGGGCCGGCGGGCAGCGAGTGCCCGAGCCCGGCCCGAGCGCGGGCACAGCCCCGCAGCTGGATCCGCTCCACACGCCCCAAACCCAGCGCCCCTGCTCAGGGCACGCCTCTGGCAGCAGCGCCAGGGCCGGCCCCGCGGGCTTGGAGTGGATTCCAGACTTGTATCCCGACTGGGAAGGGCTGAGGACTTTTCCAGGGAAGCATTTCCACGAAGATGTGAGGATCAGAGCGGAGGCACCCAAGGGTGGCTTGGCACAGGGGCAGCGAGGTAACGAAAATCTCCGTGCTGGGATGTGCTGGTAGGGCAGAGGAGGGGTAGGGAATGCTGGGCTTGCCCAGGGAAGGATCCAGGAGAATCCAAGGAGGTTTCACTGCGCCTCCTCCAGCCTGCCAAGTCCATGTGTGATGTGATTATGGAGCCTTGGGCTGATGCAGCCCAAACTTGGTGGGAGAGGCAATTCCCTGTCCTTTTCCAAGCCCAAATCCCACATCCCATCCCAGCTCCCTGCTCCCCTGGCAGCACAGCCCCGCTGTGACCACTTCTCACCCTGCAGGTCCCCTCTAGGAGAGGCCCCTGATGGAGGTGAGGCTGGGCGAGCTGCCCTCCTGGATCAGCACCCGCAGCTTCTCTCCCCAGGGGCTGCTGGCAGCAGTGCACAGAGGTGAGAATTCCTGGCTTTTGGGGCAGGTCCGTCCCACCCCCCTGATTTACTCTGCTGGGCCAAGTAGTCAGCCTGGATCTGTACAAAGCACGAGTCATGGAATGATGGAAGGGTCTGGGAGGGACCATAAAGATGATCCAGTGACCCATAAAGATGTCCCCACTGTCCCAGCTGGCTCCAAAGTCCATCCAGGGATCCAGGGGCCACCACAGCTCCTCTGGGCACCCCGTGCAGTGCCTGCCCTCCCTTACAAGGAACAATTCCTTCCCATCCATCATCCCAACATCTCATCTATCCCTGGGATAAACAAATATCCCCAACATTTTAGCTCTGTAGAGTTGCAGAGAAGCAGTGAATTGCCAAGACCAGCCCATGATTTGTCCCTCTCCTTTCTCTCCCAACAGCCTGGAGCAGTTATTGTGCCAAATACATCCACGTGAAGCAGGGGGGACCTGCTGGAATCTCCATGCTCCTGGCTGGGTACTGCCTGCTCAGCTATGGCTGGAACTATCAGCACCTCAGTAAGACTTCCTATTTCAGGACTTCTTCCTTCTGCAACACTTGGAAAGTCTTATTTAACGTTCCTGTTAATTAAAGCTCTGGAATAACTGAAATAATTAAATTATTTAAACACTCCCCGTTTAAGGCTTAATTACCAGAGCTCAGAGAGCAGGATTCTCTAGGTGGGCAGAGGAATTTGGTTAATAAAAGTGCTGATAGCAGTTGCTGACTCACAGCTTCTCCCTGGAGAGCAGCAGCATTGTCAGGAGCACTTTGAAAAGCCCACACAGGGCAGAGGGAGGAGATGTTCCAGCAGGAGCTGCGTTTCCTGACAGATGACAAGGGATCTGCTGCTGTTTGGGTGGTTCCCCCTGGCAGCACACAAACACAGAAGCTGCAGTTGGGCTCCTCACCCCAGCTGGAGCCCCCAAACAGATCCCTGTGCTGACACTGGAATGATTTTCTCCCTGTTCTTCCAGAGCGGCACCGCTGGCGAAAATACCACTGAAGGAGCTGGAGCAGCACCCAGGGAACAGCCACAGCTCTTGGGGAGGCAGCAGAGCACCCAGGAGCAGGATCCCAGCAGGAATTCCCAGCAGCAGGGCCTGGCTGGGGCTGGAGCTGAGGAGGAGCCCCTCTGCAGGTTGGCTTGTGTAGCAGAGAGGTGACAGGGACAGCATGTGGCCACCCCTCCTGGTCAGGCAGCTTCAGTAGTGAAATGAGAAAGCATCAGAGGCATCCTGAGAGATCTGTGGGGGCAGGAGAGCTCCTGGAGGCAGCAGAGTCCCAGAGCAGCCTCCCCTGTTTGGGGCAGGGGACAGCACCTTGTCCTGAGCTGTCATTAGGGATGATTTCACAATTCTGCTGTAGCTGTGTGGGCTTCAACCCCAAGAGCCATTCCCTTTAAATTCAGAGCTCTGCCTGGCCCAACCCAGTTTGTACTCGCCCCTTGTACTGGTGGGACTGGCCAGGACCTGTGTGAAGGCGCTGGAGCAGCAGCTCAGACCACAGCACCCTAATTCCCTAATTCTGGGGAAGACAAATCCGTGGGATGAGCTGTTGTGCCCAAAGGGCAAAGCCGTGCCTGCAGCAGGCAAACCAGGACAGCCAGGAGTGCTAGTTGGAGCCTGCCATCCCCAGACATGTCTGGGAAAGGGTTGCTCATGTTGCAGGCATGAAGGGCAAAAAAAGAGCCAAGAATTAAAAAGTCTGAGCTCTTTATTCTGCAGAGTGCAGTAGTGCTGTGACAGAGGTGTTGCACCAAAAACTCTCACCAGCAATAAAAACCTGTGTGGATTTTCATTTCCTGCTAGGGTTGTGATCTGAAACGTGGTGCTTTGTGCCCCCTCCCCAAGGGATGAGCACATCCTCCCCCCTGTGCCCAGGATGCTGGCACCAGCCAGTCCTGCACCCCTCCAAACCTTGGCAATGCTGCTGCTGCCCCGGCCTGCCTGCAGCCAGCAGTGCCAGGGGAGCAGCCAGCTGTGGCAAGTCCCGATTTTCATTGCATCGAGTGATTTCTGTGCTGCCTGTGCCAGCTGTGAGCTGGTGCTGGGCAGACCCTGCTGGCTTTCCTAGCCCAGGGCCCGCCCCGGTGCCGTGTCCGTGGTGTCCCCGTCCCCTGAGCCGTGTGGCAGCACTGGAGTCACTTCCCCAGCAGCATTTCCAGTGGAGTCCTCCCTCTCTCGCTGGCACAGGGACTGGCTGATCCGCTCTGGGGGCACAGGGAATGGCTTTGTGCTGGACCAGCCCCTGCCACGACCCCACACGTTCGTTTTGACCCCGTTTCCAAAGGGATGGGATTGTGGAAACAGCACCCCGAGAGTTCCAACTACACCAAACCTCTGAGCAGAAGGATTTGTTGTTCCCAGGGTTCTCACCACTGAAATCCCTTCCCCTGCTGGTTCCCACCTCAGCTCCAAGGGGACCACAAGGAAAAGACACATTTCCAGTCAAAGAGGCTGTTTTGGGAGCACTCTGAGAATCCCCACAGCACCTCTGCCCCTCATCCTCCCTCCAAGGTGAGAGCGCTGTTCCCAGCCTTCCCATTCCCCAAAATCTCTCACCTTGGAGCAGCTGCCTCCTCCCAGCAGGCTCTGTGGGCTCGGGGGGCAGCCACTGCTGTCCCACAGACGAGCTGCCAGGGGCTGGGTGCCACGTGGAGGTGGCTCCTTGGGTGGCACATGCTCACCTCCCCTCTCCTCTGCAGCAGCCAGATCCCGCTGAACCAGCCCCCATGGACATCCAGCGTCCTGGGGGAAAGGGGGCAGGGGGGCAGTTGGCAGCTGCTGCCCCACAGGAGCTGGGGGCAGCTGGGGCACCACCCCTGTGGGCACAGGGACAGCAGCTTCACCTTGGATGTGTCTGTGCTGCTCGTCATCAGCCCGGCCTTGAGGCTGGAGGGGACACAGAGGACAGGCAGTTACTCCCTGGGGTGTCCCCAGACCCTCCTGAGGCTCCCACAGCCCCCCAGGGATGTCCTGCAGCTGGAACAGGCACCTCTGTGGGGACCAGGGCTGTCCCCTGCCCACCCACCGCTGCCCCTGCTGCCAGCAGCACAGCTTGGGTGTGGGGTTTGGTTAATTCTGACCCTTTGTGTCCTTGTCCCTGACCCTGCAAGGGCCACAGCCACCTCAGAGAGGGGATTTAACCCCCCCAACCACATTCCAAGCCCCCCCAGTACGTACTGCACGAATTTGCACTTGGGTCCCTCCGGGCAGAAGCCCACCAGGTAGTTGGCACACATCACCCTCCTCGTGTGCTTGTACTTGCACAGGGGACCTGCCAGGCAGAGGGGACACTCACAGGGACGTGCCATCAGCCCGGCATGGTGGGAGCTCTGCTCTCCTGCAGCCCCGAGCCCAAATCCCGCCCTGCCCCAGCTCACCGTGCCTGCAGAAGCCACGGTCGTACCAGGGACAGCCCAGGGCGCTGGCGGTGGCACCGACGTGCAGGAAGGGACAGTCCTTGTTGCTGCACTCACCTGCGGGAGCGAGGCGTGGGACATTCGGGACAATCGCACAGGGATGGGCTGGGTGAAGGGCATTGGGGTGCCCTGGGAACAGCGGGGTTCGGCTGGGCGTGGGGACAGTGACCCTGGCTGGGCGTGGGGACAGTGACACTTCTTCCCGCAGGCAGGAGGTGGCATCAGCCGCCCGAGGGATGAGAGGGGTGGGAAGAGGCTCCCTGGGATGCCCAGCCCCGCACCTACCGAACTTGGAGTAGAAATAGCACTCGGGCATCCTGGTGGCATCGTAGTCGTGCAGGAAGTCGCAGCCTTCGCCCCTCCGGCAGAGCCCTCGCAGCCAATGCTTGCACACCGCGGGCTTGTCCCCGCCGTGCCGGGGGTGGCCCTGCACACCTGGGACAGCCCTGTCACCGCCAGCCTGTCCCACTGCCCAGCCCTGTCCCTGCCAGCCTGTCCCACTGCCCCCAGCCAGCCTGTCCCACTGCCCAGCCCTGTCACTGCCAGCCTGTCCCACTGCCCCAGCCCTGTCACCGCCAGCCTGTCCCACTGCCCCCAGCCCTGTCCCACTGCCCAGCCCTGTCCCACTGCCCCCAGCCCCGTCACTGCCAGCCTGTCCCACTGCCCCAGCCCCGGGGTGGGGAGGGCTTCACCTTCTACCCCCAGTCCTGGGACTTCAGGGACACTGGGGACCCTGGCAGCTCCCCAGCAGCTCCCCAGCAGCATCCCTGAGGGAGCAATACCCAGAGCCAGGACAAAAACCACCCAGGTGTTGCAGGAAGGCAGCAAAAGGAGAACCCCAAAGAATCCTGCAGCCCTGCCACCCTCCAAAAATGCCACAGCCCTGTCCCCAACTTACTGTCCATCCCCGGGAAGGGCAGGGGCTGAGCTCCGAGCCGCTCCACATCAGCCTCTGAGTCAAACCTGATCTTCTCCACGCCAGCCACCAGCTCCTGCATCATCCCTGCTGCGGGAAGAGCCTGCTCCAGCCCGGCAGGGGAAGGGGAAGAGGCAAGGGAAGAGGCAGGGACGCTCCCCAAAGAAAACAGTTTTCCAAAGGGACCACCACACTCTGGAGGTCCCTACAGCCACCCTGGGCCCCAGCAGAAGCCTCCTCTTCCTCCTCCTCCCCAGGCAGAGCAGAACCAGCCCAAGCAGCCCTGGAGTGCTGCATTTAGAGGGGGGAATTACCCACATCTGATCCCAATTTGCAGCCCTGATTGCCTGGTGCCGCAGCTGGGGAGCTCAGCCCCAGGCCCAGCCAGCCCCTCTCAGCCTCCCCACTCCCACATCTGCTTCTCCTCCAGAAAACGTGGCTGGGGCTGGCTGGGAGCTGGGTTAACCCCTCACTTGGAGGCCCTAAATGGAGACAAATGTGGCCGGAGTGCTGGGATTGAGCATTCCAATAGCCCGGGGTGGATGTTGGGTGTGTTTTGTGTGCTCTGGGCACAGCAGCACCAGCCCCAGATCTGCTCTCCAGCACCTGGCAAAACATCCCTGAGCTCCTGGAAGGGCTCACACCTTGCATCCCAACAAATCACAGAATGGTTTCTTGTGAAATGGTCTTTACAGCCCTTCTTGTTCCATCCCCAGGCAGGGCCACTTCCACTGGGCTGCCCAGAAGCCCCTTCCACGCCTGCTTTGGGGCTTTCATGGGTGCCAGGCTCCAGTGGCACATTCTGGCCATGACCAGGGCTCCATGGGTTTCCTGAAGCCCACCTGGAGCAGAGCCCTGGATTTATCCCAACGCTCCATCCCTGCCTCATCCCACAGCGGCGCCCGGGGCTGACACGGCCCGTGGAGCCCTGCTCCCATTCTGTCACTTGGCATCAAAGCACTGGACCAGCAGTGCCCCAGCGCTGCCCATGGGTGCTGCAGGGTGCTGGGCACCCATCGGCCGTGTGGCACAGCCCAGGTGCCACCCCGGGGGTGTGACAGATGTCACTGTGCCCACGCGGGGTTTGGGGAGGCTGGGGTGCAGCCTGCTCCCGGCACTGGCCGGACACTGGCGGTGCTGGTGTCACCCCCACCACAGGGACACGTGGCAGTGTCCCTGTGCCGCTCCCTGCCGGTGTCCGTGGAGCAGGGCGTGTCCCGCCGTGCCCCGCAGCCCCCTCGCACTTTCTGCCCCATCAGCTCCGGGCACCGCGGCGCTGCCGAGCCGAGCCTGGAGCCGACAGGCGTCACAAAGATCAGGGCGGCCAAGTGACAGTGGCAGGCGGCCCGTGAATGTCACCCCAGGGCTTCTCCCCGCCCCACAGCCCCCGGGAGAAAAGCGGGCAAAGCCCAGGGACCACAGCTCGCTGCTTTGTGCCAGAGCATCCCTAAGGGACAAGAGGAGCCAGCTGTCCCCCTGCAGCCTGCTGACCCCCCAGGTGACAGTGACCAGGATCACTGGCTCAGGGGATGGGACATGGGACCCTGCACAGGGCAGGGGGGCAGCCTGTGAGCTCAGAGCCTCCCGCTGCAGCTGCTGTTGTTCTCCCTGTCCCAGACAATGGCCCAATGTCCCCTGCGCAGGGTGACAGGACAGGACCCCATTGTGTGCCCACTGTGGCACAGCATTTGCCCGCTCCCCTGGCATCTCCAGGGAGATCCATTTGGGTGTACAGGGGCATCCAGCCCCTCCCAGGGCTGGGAGATGTTTGGGGAGATAAATCATTCCCTCTCCCTAGTGAGGAGGCTCAGGGGAAGGCTGTGGGGCCATTCCTGGCACTTTGCCCCATCTCAGCCCAGCTCCATCCCAGGGCTGGAGCAGGAAGTCACTCCCAGCACTGACAAAGCCCCATTCCCCAGTGGGAAGCTGGCTGTGTGATCAGAGTGACTGCTCTGATGCTCTGCTGGGATCATCCAGGGCCACAGCCGCCCCACAGGGCCGGGAACCCCCAGGGCACCCCTTGGCCCCCAGCCCGTGGCAGCAGGGACAGCCAGTCCTGCCCCCAGGCTGGAGGGAGCAGGGCTGGGGGAGGAGAGGGCAGCGTTGGCAGGGCCAGCCCTTGGCAGGAGCCGCTGGCCCGAGGGTCCCAGCCCCGAGCCAGATCCGGCCAGCAGGAGCTCTCCCGCTTCCTCAGGCCACGGCAGGTGCCCCGCTGCGGCCAGGAGCACGGCCAGCGATGGGCAGCAGGACGGGGACACTGGTCCTGCGTGGGCAGCAGGTCCCCCCACGTGTCACCCCTCAGGAACTCAGGCCACTGCAGTCACTACCATTTCCTTTTATTCCTTGTATTTGTACATAGACGGTATAAAAGCTCCTGTTCGGCTGCCTGCTCCCAGCACTGCCCGGCCCCACCGGGACACCAGAATTCCCCGGAATTCCCCGGCTCCAGCAGCTTCCAGGAGCTCCTCCCACAGGGGACAAACCCGCACTGCCATCAGCATGCCTGGAGCTGGCTGGGAGCGTGCCTGTGACCCCCAGGCTGGTTGGAGAGTCGAGCATCTGGGATGGAACCATCCATCCATCCATCCATCCATCCTTCCATCCATCCTTCCATCCATCCGAGGGATGGGCAGCGAGCACCCGCCACGGCACTGGGGGGCTCTTGGTCTGCAGAAAGTCCCCAGGAAGCCCAGGAAGCTGGAGCTGCCCATAGTCCCAGGCCACCTCTGAGCTCCAGAGCCAAGTTCTTCCTCATGGGAAATCTTCCCTCGGTTAAAACCAAAAGAGAGTAGAGAAAGGTAAGTACAAATCAGAAAACAGTAAAAACTGTACGGCGGAAAATATATATATATTACTAAAAGGGCTAAGACTCCAAAGGCTCGTCTTGTTGGATCCTAAATCGCTTTACACGGGCAGGGGGCAGGAGAAAGGAGCTAATATCCAAAGTCCAACAGAAAGAACCGAAATCGAGTCTGTTTCCCCCTGCCAGGAGGTGCTGGAGCTGGCTGGGGCTGTCGGAACGGCCCCGGCCCCAGGAGCAGAGCGCTGTCCTGCTGCAGCACAGAGAGGGGCCGGGGCAGGAGCTGAGTCTTCCCCAGTGCCACCAGTTGGGGTGTTCAGCCCCGTGTCCAGGCAACCGCAGTGAGAACCAGACCCTCGGCTCGGCCCTCTTATACCCGGATCTCGTCGTCATCCTCGTCGGCGAACGAGAACTCCTTGTCGGGGCGTTTCAGGGGTCCCCCCCGCTGGCTCGGGGGACGGGGCACGGGGCTGCGCTCCTCGGGCCCCGAGGGGCGGCTGGACACAGAACTGCTGTCCCTGGGGCTGCGGCCACCGGCGCCACGGGCCGGGCTCTGGCTCGGCAGGGCCGCCACGGCCACCAGCGGGGAGCCAGGCGGGGCAGGCTCCCCTTCCTCCTCCTCCTCCTCCTCCTCCTCGCGGCTCTCCTCTGCCTCAGGATCTTCGTCCTGCTCCCACTGATCCTTATCCATGATGCTCAGCACGTCCCCGAGCATGGAGGGCCCCAGGTCGATGTGGAAGGACATGATGGACTCGGCGTGCTTCAAGCCCGCGCCGCCCTTGGCCACCACCACGGGCAGGTCCGTGATGTCCCCGAAGTCGCGCTCGTCCAAGCCGGGGCTCAGCGGCCCCGCGGCCGCCCCGTTCGGGCGCTGCTGCTCTTCGGGGCTCATCTCCTCGGGCAGCTTCTTCACGGGGCTGGAGGAGAGGCTCTTGGGCAGCTGCCCCGCGCTCCTGTCCGCGTCCTTCTCGTTGAGCTGGGGCAGGGACACGGCGTTCTTGACGAAGAGCGCCGAGTCCCGCAGCGAGCCCAGCATGTCCCGCCGGTCGCCGCGCGTCACCGACTGCGAGCGCTTGCTGCTGCGGAAGCGGCGGGACAGCAGGCCGGGCTTGGAGGCGCCCAGCTCCTCTCCCGCCTCCGGCACCGGCTCCCCGGCCTTGCTGGTGAGGAAGGAGGTGTCCCCAAAGGCGTCCCCGGCGCGCCCCACGTGCATGGTGTGGCGGAAGTCCCCCAGGGGCGCGCTGATCATCTCGGCCGTCAGGTCGGCCCGCGAGCGGCGCTTGGAGTGCGCCGAGTTGGACACGAGCTGCTTGAGGATCGGCATGGTGGCACCCAGGGGAGGCTGTGCCACGCTGGGTCCCGTGCCCGGTGCTCGCAGATGGGGATCTCACCACCGGCGTCACGGATGGGTCACTCCTAGGGGAGAGGAGAGAGGGACGCGGTCAGGCTTCGAGGATGTGGGTGGGGCACCAGATTTCATCCCACCAAGCTGCAAAATGTGACCCTGTGCCCACCAGCCTGCTTGGCTCTCCTGGGAGTTGGCTCCATGCAGGGTATCATTCCACACAGGACACATCTTCAGGCCCCTCTGAGCTCCCCACACCCCCAGACCCATTCCCGGAGCAGAGAGACCCTCAGGAGAAAGACCTGGGCACAGAAATCCCTCAGGACGATCCCTGACTGTGTGCCCCACATGAATGGGCACCACGGGCACGTTCTGCCCCTCCCCGTGCGGCCCCAGCCCTCCCAAGCGGGGCAGGGCAGCTCCAGCCTCTGCGAGCAGCACGCTGAGAAGATGCCTGGGATTTTTTTTTTCCTAATTGGAAGAAAGCAGGGAGGAGCAGACGCCAGGAGGAATTGGAAACAGACGGCAGGAAGTGTGTGAGGAGGGCGTAGAGCCCCCGGGAGGCACCGCCAGCCGACCAGGGGGACGGGGGGACCAGGATGGGGACCCCTTGATGCTTGGCAGGCTGGGCACTTGGGGACACTGCTTTGCTGCTGCCCTGGAGCCCCCTAAACCCTCCGTGCTGCCCCTCGGAGCTGGGTCCATGTGTGACCGTCCCCACCCTCCCCAGCCGTCTCATGGTCACCGATGTGACTCAGAGGTGACAGAAATGACGAGGGCTCCGTCCGACCACAATGGCAACGGGCACGTTCCTCCTTCCCTCGGCCACCTCGGGGCCACCAGCCGACCCGTCCAAGGACAGCGACCGTGCCCCGCATCCCGCGGCGCCAGGCGGCCCCAGGTGGTCCCGGAGCGGCTGCGGGGAGGAAGGGCTCGTGGC